GAGTATCATCGCACTCAAGGACAAACATAGATAAGGGCTCTCAGCTGAGAGGTACAGCGAGGTACAGTGCTTGGACCTGCCAGAAGAGAACACTTTTCTTGGGCCATTATCTCCGTAACCGTTCAACTTTGGACATAGGTGTTTTGGGTTATATCGGCATACTTTAACATAAGGAACACCCTCCCGAAGTTTGGCACATTCCTCCTGGGACACCCTGTATACAATGACCATGCTAGGTTGCATTCTAGAGTTTATTTTTCTGAAATCCACTTTTTTAATTTTCTTCCTATTACCTTCTCACTGTGAGTGTCCAATGCAGAAGTTGCCTCATCCAGGAGCAGCACCCTAGGATTCCGCACTAGCGCCCTTGCAATGGCAATTCTTTGTTTCTGGCCTCCAGACAACTGTGTGCCCTTCGAGCCCAGTCTTGTTTCATAACCCTGTAATAAGAATGGAAGAAATTCTATCAAGTGACTACTCTTATACTATGTGCTTTCTTTATGTGTGTTTTCAAAGCCAAAGTCACTGTTATTTCATGACTGGCTGTTTATCAGCAGTCAGTTCATCTTGGCACCAAGCCTCTTGAGGCTCATGACCAGAGGTCTTCTTTTTTTTTTTTGTGCAACTGAGCCCTTGTGGTCATAGTCCTTATGTAACATCCTCTCTGGTGAGAGGATGTGTTTGTCTCTTATGAATATGCTTGGTGTTTTGTCAAGCACATATAACAGGTTACTGAAAATTCTTCCCATTGTGCTACATACAAGTCCTCTGTCAGTCCAGGTTTTGCAAACCAGATCATGCCTATCTTACTGATCTTATGCTACAGTGGCAGTTTAGGCACTTGAATGGTCACAAGCTTGACTGCTGCCAACTTGAAGTCTCTTATATTTTATGTGTGTTCTCCCATATCTGGGGTTCTATTGCAATATCATCAAGACCAGCAGTGGCCATAGCAGAAGCTGTTAAACTTCAAGAAGTTCCTATGGGCTCACTTCACTTGTACACTCTTGAGTCATTTAACACTGATGACCCAGCTGTCCAATAACTTCTCCAGCCAACCATTTTTTTGAATTGAATTGAATTTATTTACATTCTATAAATCCTAAGTAGGTTAGTACCTTTGGATACAGAACAAGTCAAAAGGTTACATACATAAGTACAGGCAATTTTAGCTTAAAAATTAATATAACTTAATTTTACATCATTCTCTATTTACATTGAAGTATTCATCTAAAGAGTAGAAGGAATGAGCATGTAGATAATTCTTTAACTCTGATTTAAACTTTTTAGTATCATTGCCCAAGTTTTTAATACTTTGTGGCAGATTGTTGAACACTTTTATGCCAGTAAAGTAGACTCCTTTTTGATATACTGATAAAGTTGATGAGGGTAGGTGGAAGTTATATTTTTGTCTAGTATTCATGTTATAGACATCAGAATTTAATTTGAATTTATCTTT